CTTAATACGACAGTTTTTCAATTAACAATTTCATTGGCGTCAGCACCGTGTTTTGAACACAGAGAGTTAAACCTAAATTTTAACTGAGCACCCGAATAGCATGTGGCTTAATTAAGGAACGAAGTTTGTTGCGTTTCTTTCTGTCTAAAGGTAACTAAGTTATATGTGTATTTTATTTTAACTAGCATGTGGACCTTTAAATTGTAAAGTTTTGTATATGAATGAACAAAAACTTTCAGTTTCGCGCCGAGACGCTTTACCAACTAAGCTGGCGATGACCTGATTGTGCTAAAATCTTGACATTGCATTTGAACCCGAAGAAATCAGTGTAGTAGTACTAGATATCAGCTAAAACAGTGTCTTTAACTGCAGTCCCCGGCGATTTCAGGAGACCGGCAAGAATATTAGAAGACCAGAATATTGCAGGATATGGTGCTCAACTAAAGAAGCAGATATATAGAGAGTACAGGTATTTTTTTGGTTTTTTTTATGTGTAATGTTGCCGCCCATGGACGTTCCAGATACGTTGACAACCTTTGGAAAATTGGGCTCCGGCCACCTCACTCACCAGACGAAACGCGAAAGTATTATACTTCCACTTTACACCGGTCTTCTGTGAGTTCGTGATACTTACCCGAACAAGCCTGCCCATTCGTGCAACAGCCGAGGCTGCTGCGTGGCCCTACCACCGTTAACCGTTTTATTTACTTATATACAATACGAGACGAAGACTACTTATATGACCAGGAGGTCGGTCCGAACAAGCGTGATTTGAAGGAGTGTTTTAACCCGTTAATGTTTTATTTTTTTAGTATAAATATGTAATCTCAATCCTAATACCGTTTCACGAATCGATTTTGCATATTTTAGGAGACTGTCACAGTTTTTTCAGCCACCCGTTATTTTTGTGGTTCAATTTAATTTTAAACCTTATTATCTTATCGCTCAAAAAACTGAAAATCATTCATTTACCTAGTTAAATGGATATGAAATACCATTCTTGCAAGACGTAAGTTTTGAAATGATCCCTTTACCTGTGTCGAGTAATAGAGTAGACGTCGTGGCAGCTGATACAGTTTTTAATATGGCAATTCGTTCTAATCTTTCTCGGGCGCCACCTCCCCCTGATACATTAATCAAGACCGCTTGGTAAAACAGCACGTGAATCATTATGAATGGTGCAGTTTCTTACTTACATTTGCCGAGAGATAAACGATTGATATTCCTTTATGACATTGGAAAGGGATTCAGATAAACGTGTTCTTTAATAATTTTTAATAAAGATTTAATGAAACGTAATTACTCTTAAGGAATCGATATACTTTAGGGGCTCTTGGGAATATACGATGCCTTAAGCCTGACCTGTTTCTCTATGTATTTTAATCAGTTATAAAAAAAAGTTTAGGGCTTGTATGTAAAGCACACTAGACCTAATAATTTAGGTAAGAGCTGTGATAGGTTTCTGATAAATCACACCCCAAAGTACATACATTTCTCTTAAGATTCTTGTTGTAATCGATATCTTAATCTACCTCCATTATTCGTTTTACATAATCAAATAAAACAGCAGAGTTATTTTAAAGGCACGCCAATAATATTCTGCGATCTCACTTCGATTAAATTCCTAAGACAAAGACGAGGGATCACATTTATCGGCTCGGCTGAAATACCCTGATGGAGAGATATTGAACAATGATAAAACTCCTTTGAATTGGGCGTTTCTCTATTAAGGCGTTTCTGAATCTACCGTACCAATTTAAGGATTGCGTTTTAAAGTGAATCATAGTATTTACGATTAAAAGTGCTCTATAACCTAATCTATAACCTAACCTATATATATATTTGAACAACGTCCGAAGCTGTTGCGTGGCCCTGGTTAATGGGAGATACCACTTTAATGGGTGCAATGCAGTAGCGGAGCAGGTAGGGGCAGAATTACGTGGTCTCTTGCGATGGCAAGATGGTGAGGAATGGCTTGTCCTTCTCCAAAGCGTACTCACACGGACTACCTTAACTTCAAGTACCTTTAACTGTGGTAATCCCTGTGATATGGGGCAGGTCCGGGGAAGTACAAAACTCACAGAAAACCGGCGTGAAGATGAATATTCATATTTCGGCGTTAAGCGAGTGGGGTGACTTGGCCTTTTTCATTAAAAAGTGGCAACGCATCTGTAACCCTTCGGGTGTAGCAAATGTGCCCGAGCGGTGGTTATCACATAACACTAGATGAAACACGAGCTCGCATGCCATCTTCTTAAATAAAAAATCACCAAAAGGGGCACCGGTGTTGCACAGGAGATCCCGGTGCCACTCTAAAGGAGTTGAAGATGGCTACCGTTTTTATACGTATACATGCATAAGCTGACGGATCTGTCTGACAACAATTATTAACGAGAAACAAAACCGACTTAAATATCTCGCGCTGTATTCATTTCATAATTGATTTTCAGGAGTTCCCTGAGTATCTCCGGAGCCAAAGATCCAGTACCAATGAAATTAATATGGGGCCACATGGGAAGCGCCAGCTTTCTAATAAAAAAGAATCATCAAAACCGGGTCACTCAGTCGAAAGTTCTGAGGTAAAAACATAAGAAAAATACAGTCGAATTGAGAACCTTTCCCTGTTTGGAGGATGTTGACAAAATAGAACCACGAGCTTCGTTACTATAGTTCATAAAACGATTTGATAAGTAGGTCACCTCTGAACCTCCCGCTCCCCTATCATTCGCGGCCATTCAAAACAAGTTTATAACACAATAATAAAATACATCCGACAAAATAAGGAAATTTTGCAGATGTGGTACCGATGTTATGAACTATAAATGACGAAACATTTTACTTATATGTCGACAAGTAATATTATAAATGTAAATTATAATGGAATTTATAAAAAATACCTAGAATTTAATTTGGAAATTTAATTCAAGTTATTTATGTCTGTAACCAAACCTGCCTAGTTAAGTGTTATTTAATTAAATTCAAAATTCACTCATGTAAATATCTATGATACTTATACAGACGTTGTATGAGCTGTCGCTACTTATTTTTCCCCGAACTAAAAGTCACGAATCACGCAAACCATTACGAATGTTAACTTAGGCCCGAGTATCGATTGCTCTTGTGGAATGCTCGACACGGATCGCTTTGTATAAGAAACGCACAAAGGTATCCACCATTTAAAATGGTGACTTCGCAGTTTTTCCTCGAACGTGGCATCTATCCGATAAGAGTAAAGCGACAGCCCACATTATTATGTTCCACTGCTGGGTAAAGGCATCCTCTGCACAGAGAGTATTAGGCCCTAGTCCACCACACGACCCCACTGCGGATTGGCAGACTTCAAGCACAGCTTTTAAGACCTATATTGTGCCATGTTTTTACAAATAAACGTCTCTTCTTTTTTTCTTTCTTTCACATAGCTTCGATTTTTTTATGTTTTGAAAATATTGTATTATTGAAAATATGCAGGTCACCTGACGATGCTTCAGGAAGGGAAGTGATAAACGCCGCCCATAGACATTTGCAACACCCAGCCCATAGGGTTGCAAAGGGGATGGCACCTTTGAATAAAGTAGGCCCGGGCTATCTCACTCACCAGACGTAACGCTAAAGTATAATACCTCTACTTCACGCCGGTCTTCTGTGAGGTCGTGGTACTTTCCCAGATGGACCTGCCCATTCGTGGATCGGCGAAGTGGTGCGTTGTCGGTTGGTGGTGGCCCTACCACTGCTTAGTTCGGGACTAGATAACTTTGTGTGAAAGTAGGTTTCAAAACATTAAAAATGTCGTACTCAATATGTCCCGAAATATTTGTATGTATAAAATATGGCTTAAGGCCATCTGGGTTATTGCACTTTTAAAACGATGAAGGATTCTTTTCCGTGCGTAATTACACTAACGACAATCTATTGGTGTCGTTTCCCGCCCAGACATGTGTGATTTATAGATCTTTACACATAAATATTAATAAGACAGTTACAAAGAACAGTTGGTAGGCTTCAATCGGAATTTAGAATATAAGATATTTCAAATAAATAGAAGCTTATAAATTTACAACATGATAATTCTCATTTAAGCTATAAGTAATTTAGAATTCAATTAAACTATAAATTTGAATACTTGAAACACGAAAAGTTATTTCAATAGATTACAGCGTACCTTAGTGTCGAAGGCTTATAATTCTAAACATCAATTTCAATCTAATACCATCCGAGTCGTTTCAACTTGTTTACTTTAAAACGCGCATTAAATTTTCTTTGTCAAGTTTAGTAGTCTTTGGTATGTAATACTGAAAATTCGAACAATCATTATAATTATGTAGAAGTATGTTTTATTTTTTTTTATTTTTTTCTTTCTAAGCATATAATTATATAAAGACATATATTTTTATCTTTCTTTTATGTGATAAGTTGTTAAGTGAGCAGGCAGTTCACCCGATGTTAAGTGAATACCGCCCATGGACATCTACTACACCCTAGGGTTTACAAATGCGTTAACAATCTTTTTGAAAATTGGGCTCCGGCCATCTCACTCACGAAACGAAACGCGAAAGTATATACTTCCACTTTACGCCGGTTTTCTGTGAGGTCGTGGTACTTACCTGGATGAGGCTGCCCATTCATGCAACAGCCGTTACTACTACTACTTTAGGATAATCTAAAATGTTATTTTTTATATATTCCTTACATTAATAATTATGTATCATAAATGATTTTCTTTTATATTAATATTTTGTAACTTTTCCTTTGCTTGCTACCATAAACTTTCACTACATCCTGGGTTGGCGGGTAAAGAATGCCTCTGGGCATTAAGTTCGCCCTTGTTATCATTTTCTCTTAAGGTTAGCAATAAAGAATAAATAAAAAAAAAAAAAAAAATCGAACAAACGAATCAAATACTAAAGTAGTGCTAATTGATGCCTCTGAATTGCCCGACTGAGGAATTCGACCGAACAAGGAAACGTATGCGAGGCTTCCGCCCGATTTAGCGGCTCCAAGGGATGAAGGCAATGAGGCGGGCTCGTCGAAATCAGGTCAAGTTCCCGAACTGGAGCGAAGGGTGGAGGTATGAGGGGCAAGAAGGAGCGGGAAGGGGATTATCAAACAATGATAAAAGTCCTCCCACGCATTCGACTTTTGCTTCCCGCCTTTTCGGCAACACGTTCTTTGAAGTTATCGTCGGAATAACTTGGCCAGAACATGCTACGAAGATGTTCAAAAAAGCCTTCGTTGTCCGCACGATCGCCTGTAAGTTGCGGGTTGAATTCCTGAATAATGAAAACTCGTATGGATTGATATTTTTTGTTAGTGATAATTTATTGTCCCTTCGATTGTGCGTCTGTATATTTTAATAAAAGTATTTTACAATATGTTAAGTTTTTATTGGGAATTCCCGCTTAAGATGTTTAAATAGGACTGCGCCTTATATCTTAATCTTAATCAGTTTTAATTTTTTAATTACAGCAAATAACGGCAGCGTATCCTGTTGTCTATGAAGGTGGCTGCTCTAATATTAGGTTGTTTATTTATTTAAAAACCGGTGTAAGCCGTAAAATAATTGTTCTGTCTTGTGTATTTTTTATTTATCTGAAATATAATACAAAGAATATAATATCTCCACAATTTCAAAAGAAAAAAACGTTCTGATATGTATGTCTATTAGCAGTTCCTATGATAGTTAAATTAATCAGAGTATAAAACAATTTAAAAGCGAAACATTTGATATAAGACAATTTAAACAATATATCAATTTAGTTTAAGCCAATCGACTAAACTATTAAATTGAATACTTACATGAGACATCAGAAGGGGTTTCAATACATTAAAAACGTATCCTACATCCGAGGACTAACAATTCCAGAGATGAATTCCAATCCGTTGGATGATTCTACACATTCTTCGAATTGGGAAGTTCCGTCCTAAGTTGGTTTTGCGACGAGAAATGTGGAATGAATTCATAATGGGATGTATATAGGTGGCTTGATTGGAATTTGTAATGCGCCAAGAATTGCTAAACTGAATAATAAAACTGGATTTTCACGTCTTATGGATATCAGGCGCTTAGCTCAGTTGACTAGAACGTCTGGGGAATGCCCCAAAATACGCAGGTTCAACTCCTGGATGACTATTTCTCGATAATTTATTTATTAAACTCTGTTATTGATTAATTAGTTATTAGTCTTATCTTTATGCGCTTTCCCGAGAGCATTGTTAGTTGCTATACCAAGTTCAAATGTTTCTTAAGCTGTTATTAATCTTGTGTTTGTTTATGTTTTAAATTTTTTGTGCATTGAATACCCATGTTATTGAACTTACACCAACTTGCTTATCTTAATTTTTCCTCTTCGTCCCATTAAGAGGAATAGTCTCGGCAAATTTACACATTTTCTCAGTACCGAAATTTCTTTAATAACAGTTTAATTAATACCGAATATTTAAATTAAGTTTGCTCTAAGTAAACAATATATTAAAGACCCGTACAGGGTACCACCCACGGCGTCTCATATTAAGTTATAATTAACATCTGCGTGGGCAACGTATAAAAAACAAACAAAGAGTTTTCAACTGGCTGTCTAAAATAATATTTGTTTGGTCGGTTGGTCGATAGTAAAACTCAAACTATGTTAAAATACTTTGCTTAGATCTCTCACCGAAAAATCTTATGAAGGTTGAAATAGTCTGATCTTGCTGTACCTCACCATAACGTTATGATATTCTTAATAATTCACAATTTATAATATAAACGGAACAATGTGACATGAGCAGTTTATAAGTAAAAGTAACACCCTATATATGTCCCACTGTTGGGTAAAGGCCACGTCTGTACAGAGGGTATTAGAGCAATGTCGACCAAACGCACTATGGATTAGCGGACTTCACATATCTTCGAATTTTTTTTATTATTTCGCAAATATGCAGCTTACCACACGATGTTTTCCTTCACCACTGAGAACGTGATAAGTCAGCATTTAAAATTAACGATTTCATTGGTGCTAGCGTCGGGTATCTGAGTCAGTTTGCTCGAGTATACTGAACGGATGAGCTGATGTCGGCTGCTCACGAACATCAGACCCAGTGAGTGTAGATACCGTCCTTCTTTCCGTTTGCTTACAACGTAGGCGTATACAAGGCAAGAGCAAATATGTTTTTATTGAGCTAGCGCGCTTACCATCAACGGCTGCATTGCCACTTACCATCAGGTGCGATGGCAGTCTAGTACTGGCCGGTTTTGAATTAAAAAAATACGTTAAAAAATTGGGCCATCCACCATTTCAAATGAAGAAGCTATAAAAATACTTATCGAGATAATTCACATCAGTCGTCTGTGAGGCCGCGGTTTTTACCCGGACGTGCCTGCTCTATCGTCCAACAGCAGTAGTGTACTTTAACCTTTATTCATTTGTCAGACCATTCTGAGATACTGGAACGTTGTCACCGTAATAACGATGGAGACATTTTCCATTTGAGACTTCTCTTCGTAGACCTTAGATCGCATGTCTGACATTTCAGATTCAGATGATGTACCATTAGATTTCCATACTTATACATGATCAGCAAGTTTTATTTATTTTTATTTTTAGGACAAAATTTTACACAACGTTCTCTAGTCCCTAAACTAAGCGACGCTTCTACTACAGATACAAGATAACTCATAAACATACTTAATTTTCCTTTTGTAAATGAATACGTAGTATAGATATATAAAACGGACACGGGAAAAACACTGTTCATCACACAATATTTTTCCAGTTGTGGGGATCGAACCCACACCCCCTGGCGCAAGAGGCAGGTCCACTACCCGCTACGGCAATCGCGTCGTCAAATTGGTTTAAATAAACGAAGTTAAAAGAAAAAGGCCCCCAGTTACACTTAGTTTAAAACTGTCCCGACATTATGAGTAAATTGCTTTCGCGATTGCAATTCCTCGAGGCGGACAAAATCCCAAAGCACCGAAGTGTCCGCCGCGAATAATTCAAACTGAATTGTGTTAGGGACGGTCAAGGGTTTTAGCGAGATTCGCTAAAAGTTATGTGTTCACTTGACCCTATAGTAGATTGTGTTTTGTGGCTATAACTGAATAAGGGGAATATAATACAATTTGTATGGAGCCATTGTGGACCTTTTTATACACTTAGAACTATCGTCTTTTCCTTCTTAGGGTATAGAGATATAGAACTTAAGTCTATACCGTTACTGGCAGTTGTTAAACCTGTCAAGCATATCGGAAACGAATTTGAGAGAAAGAAACACAATAGCGTAAATAAACATTAAGTACACAGCGGCACAACCAATTGATTTTGTATACAAAACGTCTAAAAGATTTTAATCATATGGTAGTTTAATGACATTCAATAAGAGGTCAAAATAAACCAATATTTAATAAAGAAATGTTTACTTTGACATTGACTTTTTGATTGGAGCATGGGATTTTTTTTGTATCCGCGTAAAATAGCTTTATTATCATGAGGCTTTACCAGGTACAAAAGACGTAAACTAAAAATTAATTACCAGCATGATGGATTAATAGTTTCTTTGCACAGCACAGGCTTGAACAAATTACACTGTATAAGTAACCCAAGCAGCATAATCCTGTCAGGGTCATAATTTTATCTGGAATTTGTAAATGTGTATTCGTAAATTGGCGACCCGAATGGCGTAGTCGGTAGTGTACCTGCCTTCTGCGGCAGAGGGTGTGGGTTCGATCCCCACTACTGGAAAAATATTGTGTGATGAGCATAGTGTTTTTCTCGTGTCTGCGTATTTATATATGTATAATGTGTATTTATTAACAAAAAAAAGGATGTTTAAGTATGTCTATCAGTTTTCTAGTACCCATAGTACAAGCGTTGCTTAGTTTGGGACTAGAGAATGTTGTGTAAAAATGTGTCCTAAAATATTTAAATATTTATTTTATAAATATTACTGTGGACCACGCAATAGTCCTCACCGTTGCACGAATGGGCAGGCCCGTCCGGGTAAGCACCAAGACTTCACAGAAGGCCGAAATGGAGTAGAATTGCTTCTGCGGTTCCTGTGGTGTGTGAGGTAGCCGGGGCCCACTTTATCAAAAGGTGGCAACGCATCTGCAACCCTACGGGTGTTGAAAATGTCAATAGACGGCGGTTATCACTAAAGATCAGGTGAACCGCCACTCGCTTGCCACCTTCTCAAAAAATGTTGAAAATAAAACGGTTTAAATTCGTTTTAATAACCTAGAAGTAGGGTGCCTCTCTCGGGTCGCAAAAGTTGACACTAAAGCCCTATGTTCCGTGTACATACTGTATCATAGACTGAATAGCTAACATCACTAGCAGTGTGTTCTAGATTAATCTATGGTTGCTTGTCACTGGTCCCTTGTTGGAGAGACTGTTAATCGAAGAGAGAGTTAGGTTAAATTTGTATAATAATATAATATTTATAATAAAACGATAAACGTTCCTCCAATAATTGTTTTATTAAATAATACACATACATATAAGACTAATTTTCAATCCGCTGCCTCAGGCTTTTCTAATTGCGGAATGAAGCCTCATTTTACTAATACAATTTTGAGTTGAAGCTATAAATGAAACTTAATATAATAAAACTCCGGCGTTGATATCGACGAAGATAATTAATAAAGATCCATTCGAAAGGTGTCATGCTCTGAGTTTAGTCTCTTAAAAAGTGAACAAGATGTTTTATACGTAGCAGGATAATCTCGTAGCTTCAGAAGTTACGAGAAGCTATTTCCGTAGCCAAGTCGGAAGAGCTATTTTCAGTAAATTAGGCCAAATTATAACACCTTCCAATTGTATAAAATTTGTTTATATGTTCATAAATCTTCAAACTTTGTTTTAATTAATGTTGGAAACCAATGAGTATCTATAAGCTGAGATAAATTTCGCCAGATATTATTAAATAAATATTAACACACGACCTCCGATAGGATCGAAACTATATTAGACACGGATTTGTGAGTTTATGCGTTTTATTATTTCGTTACAAAATGTGTCTTTATCATACCTAAACCAAAGTACATATTTAGATCCTATTTACATTATACCTATGTAATCAACGAATAAATGTCAAATATTTTCAAAGTATTAAATTCTTTAAACTGATGGTAAATTGATACATAGATTCAGAAAACACATCTTTCGAACTAGGGTTTTAAAAGCAATTAATGAACATTACTACATAAAATAAAATTTAGTAAATTAATTAATGTAAGTTTCGTTTAAATAGGCAAATTATTATACACACTTAGAGTCTGAAATAACAATATACAATAAACGTATAATTATTTTTAAATAACATTTTTGCCAATATTCCTTCTTTCAGTTATTTCAAAACAACGTCCATTCGCAAATAATAGTGGTTGTCGCATAAGCCTCAATTCGGCCCTGAAATCCTTATACATTTGCTTAACTTGGAATCTTTTTGCTTTAACCTTGTAAAAGTAGACATTGCGCCTGCAAAATTTTCAATTTTCGTCGCCTTTCATATACATTCGTTGGAAGCAGATTGCGAGAAATTTTCGCTCGCTCAAATCGCCAGTGCTCACGCAAAGCAGGCGGACTTCGAGTGTCCTTTTGAGAGCCAATATGTTTCAATCCCAATAACCGCATGAGTTCCAAACGGTTCCCAGTTAGATTATATTTCAAAAGTCTAGATGTAAATGGTTAAGGGAAGCAAAAATGTCTTTAGCTGCCAGCTTGTTTCAATGTTTGATTTTTTTTTATGTGAAAAGTTGCCAAGCTAGCACACGGTTCACCTGATGTCAAGTGAATACCGCCGCCCAAGGACATCTACTACGCCCGAGGGTTCCTTATGCGTTGACAACCTTTTGAAAATTGGGCTCTCTATTGGGATTCTCGATTTTATCTTTGACATATATTAGACTAGCTTTTCGCACGCGGCTTCGCTCGCGTTGATGCTCTTAAATAAATATCTTTCTTAAAAAAATATAAATTTTTGTAAGAAAGACATTTTCGACCTTTTACAACACTTTTTTTCAATTAAAAAATAGCCCATATCCTTTCTCAGGCTCTAGACTATCTGTGTACAAAATTTCATTTAAATCGGTTCAGTAGTTTTGGCGTGAAAGCGAGACAGACAGATAGAGTTACTTTCGCATTTATAAAATTAAGTATGGAAGTATGGATTAGTAGACTCATTAGAATTTTTCTCATAACTACGCGATCAGTTAGCGAATGGTGGATAATAATACCAAAATCATAGTATTTATGCACGATATTTATTTTAAAGAATAGCGGAACGTTTCAGTCTATTGTCACGATTGGCGGCAAACATGAATTTCAAATGGTGTTTGAATCATTAAATTTTATGAAGAATTGTGGTTGTTATGTCGTTCTGACAATAACACCTTTAAGAAATAATATAGCAACTTTGCTAATAGCAACTAATATACAGCGTGTCTTTACAGTCGCGACAATAAATGAACACACATATAGAGGATAACTTTTTAAAATTAAGTTATCCCCTATATGTGTGTTCATTTATTGTCGCGATTGTAAAGACACGCTGTATAACGACATCCAGGGCAAATCACATTACGCGTTAAACTAAGCAAACAGAACGGACTGAGAATCTAGCAAGGGTCGACAATATGCTCAATGATTCAGCGAAATAACAGATCGCTAGGGTGGAAAACTGTTTCTCGTACTTTCCATAGCTCCGTCTAAGTCGGTCTTCGGTTGGGGACAGAAAAAACAAAGGCATTATTGCATAAGTTCTAGGTGGATTGCTTTCGTTCGAAACTTCTAGACAGATCCAGTGTAATGAAACCTAACTTTCTAGAACCTACTTTTCGGCTGAAGCCTTTTTCTCCATGTAATGTCCCCTTTTTCGTTCATTGTAATACCCGGAACATTTTTATACACATTTACTCTGTCTCGCTTTCACGCCAAAACTACTGAACCGATTTAAATGAAATTTGGTACACAGATAGTCTAGAGCCCGAGAAAGGACATAGGCTATTTTTTATTGGCAAAAATGTTGTATAGGGTTGAAAGGTTAAAGAAAGATATTTATTTAAGCTAGCTAAGATATTTATTTAAGGCGTCAACGCGAGCGATGCCGCGGGCGAAAAGCTAGTACGAAAGAAAACTAAAAAAAATATGAAATACCGGGAAATAATTGATATTTCCTAAAACCTGAAATTTTCTTATTTTCTGTAATAACTTGCTCTTTTAGATTATTAAATGAAACTATTTTACGGATTTTATCGCGTTTAATTTAGAAATCTAATAAAACGCGATGAAATCCCTAAAATAGTTTCATTTAACAATGTTCAATATTCGCTTAAAAACAAGAAATCGAAATTATACTTTAAATATAAAATTTAGGTTCAATCGCTATCTATGAAAGGGCGTGATTTATTACGTTTAAATCTATGTAAACAAATGAACAATTTGGGAATAACAAGTTCGTTACTCTCCGGAAACTGTTCAGTGTTGACGTCATTAAATGAGACATATGTTAGTTTTGAAAAGAAATCAAACACGATTCTATCGATTCTGAGGCTATCGATAAACTATTTGTACCTGTGTGGCGTGAGAACGGCGCAGAGAAAGAAACATCGTTTTAAAATCGATAAGCGTCTATCAATGTATCAATCACCTCACCCCTTACACCAGGCGGAAGGGTTCGATTCCCTTTTAAATAAATAAATAACATTGTTAACCTCCGGTTGAACCCTTTGTCCGTGTCGTTTATTCGATGTACCTTTGGTAGAGATTTTAAACTCTTCAAGAAAACTAGGGACGAGGACTATAAACATCTTTCATTAACTTATCACCATAATATATAATGATCACGGGAGAGT